TGAGATATGGAATCGTTGATCGCATGCAATCGTATCTTCAAAAAAGGAAGATTTGAAAAGTCTGACAAATGTGGTTATGAGCCTGTAATTTCCACTGTTCTGGCATCGTCAAAGTTTGAGTACTTTAAATTTAAACACAATTTAACCAACCACATTTTCATCAGCAATGTTATCTAATGACTCTACAGGCAAACCCTACAGGACTTCCTCTTGATAATTCTAATACGAATGTTATATTTTTCTGAAGAATGGATGTGTGAAGAGACTGCATATTTTTCTTTTTTGCCTTGATTCTCGAAGAATAGAGATTACAGAAATTCCATGCAAATAAAATCATTTGTGGATATTTTGTGGAGGGGAGCTCTTGTACTCTCTGTTACTCTGCAACACCATAAGCACCCGATAATCTTTGGTCTACTGTACTGCAATTTGATTCCACCAAGGTTGTGCACACATTATCACTTACTCTGGCCCCAGCGTGCTCCCATTGCTGATGTCTGAAACTGAGTACACATGAGCCACAATCCATAGGTATTCTGCAGCTATTGAAAAATACTTCTGTTTGATGCGCTTTCCCTCAAGCCAGCTTCCATCTGATTAGAAAGTGGAAGCCAAGGTTAAACTGAGGTGCGTACAGTTCAGACATTCGTTGAGCATGTACAGATGATGACTTCGGTGAATTGGAGTTTAGTGTGGGGAAACAAATATGCAATGGGGAAGAAGAAGAAGAAGAAGAAGAGTTTGTATTTGCTATCCTGCTTTATCACTAGCCTAAGGAGTCTCAAAGCAGCTAACATTCTCCTATTCCTTCCTCCCCCACAACAAACACTCTGTGAGGTGAGTGGGGCTGAGAGACTTCAGAGAAGTGTGACTGGCCCAAGGTCACCCAGCAGCTGCATGTGGAGGAGCGGGGAAGCGAACCCGGTTCACCAGATTACGAGTCCACCGCTCTTAACCACTACCCCACACTGGACATCCCCACTCTCTCTCTGGTCTGTACAGCAATATAAGAATACAACTTGAAATGCTGCGTTTCAAGCCACTGATGTATACATAGCCTTTGCTTCTATGCTAGATGAGATGCTAATTGTGTGTATTTTTTTTTTTTAGCACATTTTCAAAAAATCTAGTAGCCATTGTGGGAAAGCAGACCAAATTGGGGCTATGGTGAACTGCCTTATACTGAGTCAGATTGCTGGTCTACCTAGCTCAGTACAGTTGACACGGACAGGTAACGTCTGTCCAAAGTTTTAGGTGAGTTTTTATCCAGCCTTCCCTGGAGATTTTTTCTTTTTCTTTTTTCAAGAGGAGGATGTGCTCTGCCATTGAACTGTGCTCTGTCCCCCCTGCAGTCTTAGCAAAAATGTCCTTCCCCAAAGTTGCCAATAACTCTCAGTGGAGAATAGCAGCCTGCTGGCAGGTGAGTGTATGTGAGATTTTAATTGGGATTGCATGCTGTGACTGCAATGCCGCTTTCCACCCCTGCGCCTATTTAAAATGTTAAGACTTTGCACACAATAAAAATCACATCTAGTTTGGCACACTAAGGGAATAGAGCTACTAACCAGAGGTGCAACTTTTCAGCTGATTCTCACACATTTCATATGGACTGTGAGAATGTGAGCTGGGTGACATGGGGTAACATGGAACTTGTAAATGTGGTGCTCTCTTGAAGAATTCATATTTTTTGTGTGAATCTGGATATAAAGGTACATGATCCACACCTACCAGACCGATACTTGGATTGGAATGTAATTATTCCACAGGTTCCAGGTTTGTAATATAGTTCTTGGTTCTATCATATTTCTATCTATAATCAAAATGAATGCAAAATTTGTGTTTTGAAATTAATACCTTTATAAATGCATATGTTGAGAGAAACATGTTTGGACTTGCTTGCTTTGTGAGAAAATGCATTCAAAACATGTACTTTCATGAGGATTCCTCCCCCCGATGGATTTGAAAGTGGGAAATAACTGTCTAATGAACAAAAACATGTGTACCTGACAGACTGAAAATAGGCGGAGCCACCTGTCTTTCATTCTACAACGGTTGCTTCCAATGCACACAGCAACAGTTGATGTTGTGATTGTTGAGTGATGAGCAGACAATATTAGAATGACACATATTTGCTCAGCCACCTTGGGCACTTAGATTTCTTAAGTGAATCAGAGGAATCAAAACAAACAAATAAACAGTTTTCATAAGCTGACTTATGAAGCCTGAGCGAGTTTCAAACAGCAGTCATGTCTTTATAAGAAAGAAACTTATATCCTCTCTAAATGGCATCGATACTAAATAAAAGTGTGATTAAATGCTATGACAAGGCAAAACCTCAACTATGCAATCATACTTGCCCCCATGCTACGCTTCCCGTTTTACTGGAAATTTAGCATGTTGCTTCCTTTTAATTTCCTTTGATTGTTTTTCACATCTCAGAGGAAGTTAACCACACAGGCAAAGATCTTAACTATTGTAATGAGTTGGGGGGACACACAGTATGTCTGGGTTCCTTCTAGAGGTGCCAGGTTGCCCCCAAGATTGAGGGGGCCTAGGACACGTTGTGTCGTCTGGAGGAGGCCGAGCACACTGAAGGAGTTGGTCGCTGAAGCTGAAACTCATGTTTGAAGCATGCCTGCTCCCCTCAACATTGAGGTGGCTGGCCCTTTTCCAAAAATATTGATGGGGCCAACAAGGATTCAAGTGCTGGAATAGCCAGGCAAGTTTATTGGTAATGGACTAAGTATGGGTTGTTACAGCAACGTAAAGAAACAAAGGAAGTGACTCTGTGCCAGAGAGAAAATGGGTGAGTCCCCCTCACTCAACTGTCTGGTAGTCAGAAGACAAAATGCAGAATTGAAGACCGTGAGTTAAAAAAGCTAGAAGAAGTAGGCAGCAGGCTGGGCAGCTGAGAGATAGAGCCATGCCTGATTTCTGCTCAAATTCAAGGCTGTGGCTTATGGGAGAAGCAAGACGTCCTTGGGATGTTAATACTTGAGCCCCTCCATCGTAGGCTCAAGTTGCAGATATATGTAAATAAACCTTATATCATAAAGACACCACAGTCTCTACTGTCCCTCATTCTGAGGACATCACACAATCCATTCTAGAGGTGGGAATAAGCCAAGACAACCCTTAAACACATAGTGAGAGGCACAGGGAGACTTAATTTTTGAGAAAGGGCTTGCAGCTGCACTTGGCAGAGACCGCTGCTCCAGGAAATATTTCACTTGTCCTCTTAGAGCCATTGGCAAGAGCTTCACTCAACTTGCTGCTTTTCATTATTATTATGTTGATGAGGATGATTTTAAAAAACACACAACACAGGGGGAATGTTATCTTCACCTGAATGCAATATCTATACAGTGGTACCTCGGGTTACAGATGCTTCAGGTTATAGACACTTCCGCTAACCCAGAAATAGAACCTCGGGTTAAGAACTTTGCTTCAGGATGAGAACAGAAATTGCGCTCCAGCGGCGCAGCGGCAGCAGGAGGCCCATTAGCTAAAGTGGTGCTTCAGGTTAAGAACAGTTTCAGGTTAAGAACGGACCTCCAGAACGAATTAAGTTCTTAACCCGAGGTACCATGTAGTGGCCGTAGACTATTCTCAAATGTAATCATAATCTGAGGCCCTTCTTAGTGTGTCCCCTCCACAGGGGTTTGGAGTGTGTCAACATGAGACTGAGCCTTTTCAGTGGTGCCCCCCCTTCCTTGTAGAATGTTCTCCCCATGGAGGGATTCCGGGTGCCATATCTGGCAATTTTTGGTACTAGACAAAGACTTTTCTCTTTGCTTAGGCTTTTGTCCCTTAATTTGAAGGGTGGCATTGTGGCCTCTCTTTGTGGGGTGGGATTAGTAAGTCCCGGTCTGTTTAGCTGTGTTTATAGTTTTTATTTTATTTTATTGGATGTTCTTAACCGGTTTTAATGTAAGTTGCTTTGGGTCCCTGTGTGCGAAAAATGTCTAGCAAATTAATTAATTAAATAAATGAAGAATAAAATTGAGGATTAAGGCTTCTTCACACATTGCATTTTGAAAGCACAAGGGCATAGGTATAAAATGTAAAATAATAATAATAATTGACTGTGAGACACAGGTTTTTGGAAATGAACACAATACAGCTGCATTAACCAAGGAGCTGGGATTAGCTGCCTGGTGTACACTCATTGGCAAACATGAATTGAGAGTGGTTCTTTCTTACTACTTCCAACATGACTCTTTTATGCATGCGTGCAAAAAACCAGAGTCAATATTTCCACAAAGATGCACGGTTGCATGTGGCTTTGTAGTAAGGCAAACTGATATGCAACCCTTCTTAAGAGGCATATAGATTTCAGTTTTAGATGTGGTTGAAGCAGCATGGGAATGAAGGCCTCTTAAGACCTGCATCGTGTTTTGATGTAGGGCACTTGTGATAGTGGCTGCTGACTGGGTGACTTTTCAGGTAGCTGTGATGATTAATGTGGCTTAAAACCACGAACTTAGGAAATGAGAAAAGAGTAGCATCAGGAAGCTGCCGAGAGATTGCTTGTGTCTGATGGTTTGAAGAAGTCACAGTACCCATCAGCCAAGCCAGATTTTCCGTGAGATCACCACCTTGTGTCCTAAATCTTGTAAAAGATACAGACCAGAACAGGGATATAAGAAGGCATTGTTTTCCATTCCACTCTGTATTCATCACATGCAGCGCTATTTCCATTCTGGAGCAGTTTGTCTTGCTCCAAAACCTATGTCATACGTCTCACTGTCTGCTGCAGTGAAATTACATAACTTACATAACTTACATAATTTACGTAATGAAATGTAAATTACAGTGCCATTCCCACTCTGTTCATTTCTGTGCAAAGGAAACAAAATACAAAAGAAGAAAAAAATGTAATCAATTACATATTGTGTGTGAATTGAAAGATATAACAGCATAGAATCATAGAATAGAACCATAGAATTGTAGAGCTGGATGGGACCGCAAGGATCCAACCCAATGCAATGCAGGAATCTTTCTGCCCAACATGGGACTTGAACCCACAACTTGGAGACTAAGAGTCTCATGCTCTACTGACTGAACTATGATGTCACATTGTTCCCCAAACCATGGGAAACAGGGTAGAGATGCTTGGATTGGTGTGAGTGCGTGGGGCCTTTTAAAAAAATAGCAAAAAAGGAACATTCTTAGTCACCTCATAGAAGTAAAATAAGTATACAGTGGTACCTCGGGTTAAGTACTTAATTTGTTCCGGAGGTCCGTACTTAACCTGAAACTGTTCTTAACCTGAAGCACCACTTTAACTAATGGGGCCTCCTGCTGCTGCCGTGCTGTCGGAGCACAATTTCTGTACTTATCCTGAAGCAAAGTTCTTAACCCAAGGTAATATTTCTGGGTTAGCAGAGTCTGTGACCTGAAGCGTATGTAACCTGAAGCATATGTAACCTGAGGTACCACTGTAGTATACTATTATTTGCTACAAATACTCTTATTTGCTACAAATAGTAGTATATGCAGGAATGATTTCTCTTGTGGACATGGGACATATAAGAACACACAGACAATTTCCATTCCTGTTTACGTTTCTGTTAGAATTCTTTGAGATCCCTAGACCAGAGCTAGTCAGAGGTGCAATACTTTTGAAAAAGCTATGCTTTTTCATGTAATCCAGGTCTAGTTTCATGGACATGGATGGCTGTCATGCAATGTGATTCAAGTACAGTGGTACAGAACGAATTAAGTACTTAACCCGAGGTACCACTGTACGTTTAATTGTAGCCATAATGGTTCTGCCAACTTTCATCTGATTATTTCTTTTTCTTCTTCTGCATTTCTTTTTCTTGACAGCATAACCAGGAAACTTTTCACATATTGCTCAATTGCAACCTCAGTAAAATCCTCCAAGGTATGATTTTAGCTTAAAACCTTTTGAAGAAACTCTGGGTTCCCTAGTATGCAAATTGGAAAATGCATGAATTTCTATCACAGAATTATTTTGATTTGCAATTGTTGTGTTCGGCCAGATCAACGAATCCCAACAAATCTTGAGTGGTACAATAAAACCAAAGTGAAGCACTTTAAAATTCCATTGATTCCAACAGGAAAGATTTTAAGCATTGCACTCTCCCATTGAAACCAAGGTCATGTTAAATTTCTTGACTGGATTGGGCTCTAAGGGTTTGAAGTGATTTGCCAGGAAACAGAAAATAACACTCATTTGAACTGGTGAGAACCGAAAGTCAGGGACTTCTCATGCGCAACTTTAAAACATGCTTGTATTTATTTAAATGCCATGTAAGAAGTTACATCTGTTTTATAAGAAAGGATGCTGGCTTTGATAAACTGTTAGCTTCATGAAATAAATAAATAAAAATTAAAAAATTGTCCAGTAGTACCTTAGAGACCAACTAACACAAAAGCTTATTCCCAGAACAAACTTAGTTGGTCTCTAAGGTGCTACTGGACAATTTTTTAATTTTTTAAATTTATTTTGTCTGCGTCAGACCAGCATGGCTATCTACCTGAATCTGTTAGCTTCATATTGTTGTTGATACTGTTGTTGTTGCTATTTGTTCAAGCTGCCCTTTGTATTTTAATTGAATGGCTCAAGGTACCTTTTCCATGTTGCAACTCTCAAAGCAAAATAAAAATAGTGCAACAGAGCAACTTTATATATGTGTGCTCAGAAGTGACTTACATTAGGTTCGATGGGACTTACTTCCAGCTAAGTGCATCTAAAATTGCAGCCTTAATGGTTTGGCACATTTCTTTCCCCTTTACATCCAACAGGATTCAGAATTAGAGCGTGATTCATTTAGCCTAAGTTAAGTACTTTCAAGGGCCATTGATTTTAGTGGCAATGTTAAGTATACACTTCAACCTCTCATACTGGAATGAATGGAATGTCTAAGTTTCAATCTCATGTACATTTATTTAAGAATAAATCCCATTGAACCCGGCCGGGGGAGGGGAGGGGTTGCCTTCAAGTCAAGATTCATAGCCCTGGGGTGTAAAACTGCTAAACATTTCCTAATTCATGCTCTTACAATTTCCCCACTCTGTTTTTCCACTGTCTTTGTCATGCACCCACCCACGTTGTTAGAGGTGATGGAAATGAATATTGGCTGAAAAGAAAAACAAAAAAACGCCAAACTATATACAACTAAGTTTAGATGTCTATCTTGCTTTCTTTCAAGTAGGGACTTTTCAGAACCCTTTTTGAAATGCCCCTGCTGTCTCAACAAGAAAAGCACACACAGATAAGCCACATTTCAAAACAAATGGAACATCTGCAAGGGTCTTGTTGTGTAACACATTCTTTCCTGTTTGTACCTGCAGCTTCCATGCTGAGTCAGGTGGGACCGCAGCATGCAATTCTATGCCACAGCAATTCACCTAGAAAGAGCAACGAGCAGAAACTGACACACGCGTTCAAACTTTAAAGGGCATTTCCCTGTGAAAATCAATTTGGGAATAGGTTATAAAATGACTTCAGTGCCAAGTGCCTCTTGTCGTCAGAGCAATAAACCAGAACATTCAGGATAAGAGAGGGGCATACAGTGGCCAAGCAAACCTGGCTGGGTGGATTGTGTGGGGAAGATAAGTAACATGTCCTGGTAAGGAGGAAGAGGAGAGGGTTATTAGAAATGGAAGGAAATGCTGGGAAGGTTGTGGGAGGGAGGGAAGCACTGAAGCCATGGTGGAGTCAGCCGGAATGCTTGTACAGTGGTACCTCGGGTCAAGAACTTAATTCGTTATGGAGGTCCGTTCTTAAGTGGAAACTGTTCTTAACCTGAGGTACCACTTTAGCTAATGGGGCCTCCCGCTGCTGCCGCACCACGCAATTTCTGTTCTCATCCTGAAGCAAAGTTCTTAACCCGAGGTGCTATTTCTGGGTTAGTGGAGTCTGTAACCTGAAGCGTCTATAACCTGAAGCATCTGTAACCTGAGGTACCACTGTACTGCTTTTTTTTGAAATATTGATGAGAAGGTCTTGCTGCTGTTGTAAAATTAAATGTTCATATGGGGGGCAGAAGGTTTTTGGTCTCATCGTCTTTTGCAACAGTGATCTTAGTTGCAGTTTTTAGAAGGTTAGGCTGCATGATTTGGCTAAAGTTGGGGTGGGTCAGGGAATTGGGCTAAATGATTTCTTCAGGAGTCCTTGTATCTTTACTCTTATAAATCAAGTAGTGATAAAATTGTCAGTCAGTGAAGATCAGTCAGGTAAGCTGAAGTCAACTGCTAAAGTATATTCACACAATAATTCCAATTTTAGAAACATATTTTAAGATAACGAGATCCTACATTGCTCACATGAAGACTCAGATTGGCTGTTGGAGACATGATTGCCGCCGAAAAGTGACTCCCTCTGGAGTCCACTTTTTAATGGTCATCTAGAAAAGCGTTGATCATCTGTGTCACCCAGATGGCGTAGGAATGCATTCTATGTGAGGCTGCCTCTGAAGGTAGTTCAGAAACTTCAGCTGGTGCAGAATTCAGCAGCCAGGCTGCTCACTGGGGCAAGATGGTGTGAATATATTACACAGATCCTGGCCCAACTGCACTGGCTGCCCATTAGTTTCCGGGTGCAATTCAAAGTGCTGGTTTGGAGTTGGAGCTCCAAAAGTGTTTATGAAGTCATGGAGAGGACGGATAGCCTCACCAATTACCTGAGCGATTGAACAGAAGCAGCTAACTGTAGGTGGTTTTGCTTGCTGCACAGGCAATTTCATTCTTTTCTTTAGGAGAGGGCATATTCCTTCCTGGAGCAAATGAGCAGTCCCTTTTAAGATAGACCACACTGGCTCAGTTGATAGAACAAATGCAATCTCCTCTTTTATGGGTGGATTATGAAGTATATGTTGTGTACAGCTGATTAATCAGTCCTGGAAAGTTGACGCTCCTAGCCAAGGAAAAGGGCCTTGATGGTTGGACTGTCGGCTGAGTAGAACCACCTTTAACTGAAATTGAATGTTGTCTTTCCAGAATGAACTTGGAGTGAAGAGAACCAGATGAACCAGTTACACAGGCATGGTGCAATGCTTGCACCCTGTGCTATAAAGATACCATGTGCTGTTTATTATCCATCTGACAGAATAAAAATGCTTGTGCCCTTGTGCCACTGCAGTTGAAGTGGCATGTATATTTTCAGGACCCACCCTTTTTATGGTATTTTTTAATAGTCAGTTTTTAAATTGTGTAAAAACACCTGAGTAAAACTCACTAAGGCTCAACACTGAGAGCTTTCTAAGAAAAGTAAAGTGTACTGTGTTGTATTTTCAATTTCTCTTGCATAAAGATCCAATTTTGAAATGTTTGTTCACTGTGAGCAATGAACTCTTGGTACCAACTGATTTCACACAAGAATGCATGCATGCTTTTCAGCTGGCGTCTCATTTATAAAGGTTGGCATGCAAGGTTATTACTTTAGGGCATACTTCCTTGCAATGCTTATGCTTGGGTAACCAGCAATTATGCAATGGTATACTTCATAAAGGTCATATTGAAGGACTATAGTAAGTTCATCTTTTCTTCCATACTGCTGCTGGGATAAAGCATTTCAGATGGACTGTATGTTTTCAGAACTTTTTATGTACAGTACGGTATCTCCTCTCTGTAATAGTCACATGAACCTTTGGAAAGCCAAAGCAATATTCATGCAAATGGCCTACTAGTTAACCCCCAGTCAATGGGACTATAACCCTGAGGCAATGGCACACTAAAAAACTGGTGTCAGACAAGGTAAATGAATGAGAGGGGAATTGTGAATGAGTGAGAGGCCATTCTTCCGTTCCTTTCATTGAGCAAGATCTTAATATTTTAAATTACAGGGAAGCTGCCTCCTGCCAAATCAGACCATTGGTCCAACTAGTTCAGTGTTGCCTACACAACACCGCCAGCAACACTCCAGGGTTCCAGGCAGGGGGCATTCCCAGCCCTAACAGAAGATGCCAGGGATTGGACCTGTCAACTTGCAAAAGCGTGTGTCCTGCAGGCCCTTCGCTAAATTTCAAATCCAGCTTTTTACCATATTATTTTATTTATTGCATTATGGCACCACCCTTCTCCCACAGAACTTAAGGAGGGGTAGGAGATATATGGCCCAAAGCCTCATGACAGTTGTGAGATGGTGGCTGTCCCAAGAGACTCAGTCAACTTCATGGCTTGGTAAAATTTGTACTTGGGTCTTCACAGTCTTAATCAGGGCATCTGTCCCCCTTTTCACTTGGTAACTCTAATGGTGAGCAGCAAGACTAAGACTGGATTGGGAGCCAAAGATGTAGTCCTACTTCTAGCCAGAAAAGCCTTCAGTTTTTGCATGTTCGGACCCAGAAACCTCCCCCCTAAATAAATTCACACATGACTCAAATTTTGGTTTTGGTTTTTGGCAGAATTTAGGCCACAACTTTATTGATTAAAGAAAATGACTGGTTGCATAGGCTCTGGTTTGACTAGCTCCCTACCATGCAGGTAGCGCCAACCCAGGGCACCAGCATAGGTCAGCCAAGGGTGAACACCTGGATAAGTGGAAAGCTGGGAACAGGCTATTTCTGCCACCCAAATGTCCCCCTGGACTCAGGCATGGGCACAACCCCCTCACAGGGGTTGACCAAACCATCGAGTCCCTGGATTCCTTTAACGGAATACCCTTCACATAGGGATGGCGAGAGCGTTCTCCCATCCCTATCATCTGAACCAGAACCTATCCACAACCTTACAAGTTGTGACGATTTGCTACACGGCAGGCGAAACCCAAATGGCACCAGCCAATCAGCCAAGTGGGGAAAATTCCTGCTGTGTTCCTGTCCCAACGACAGACGACACACGATGGCATAGCAAGGTCAAGCGTAAAGCCCTAAAAGTAGGGAGAAGTGGGCGGGTGTTCTGCATGCATGCACCGAAAGAGGAAGCTCTGGGTCATGTGCATGGGCATAAATAGGTCCCTCGAACTGTTTGGACTGCGTCCCATTGGCCAGATTGCACCCAGCTATGAGGGACCTATCAATTGGGTGTTGTGGCTGACCAATCGTACCCACCCACAACACAGGGTGTCGGTTTCCAGGTCTTACCACAATACGTGCCCTCTTTAACAGAGGACCCAATTTGCCTTGTTACCACTAAAATCAGATCACAGGCACTAGAGACACAAAGTGGTATGTTTTTATTTGTCCCTTTAGTTATATTAGGTCACAATTGTCTGCATAATTACCTGGCAGGAAGTTCCACTGAACTTAAGTAGGACTTCTGAGTAGATGTGCTTTGGATTGTGTTACAGGTTTAATATTTTGGACTGTATCCACTGTTAGTTTTACTTGGTGTAGACCCACTGAAATTAATAGACATGACTTAGTTTACACCAAGTAAAACTTATCTGAATACAACCTTTTGTGACCAACATTTTGAGGCACATGGTTTTATATCTGTGGCCTTTTCTCCTTTTTCAATTTTTATTTTAACCAACGTCCA